TCATTTTAGTGAATCCTCTTCCTTCAGTAAATATTGATGTGCTCAGGCCTCTTCTTCCACTGTACCTTCTCCCCAGATGATCTCATCCCACACTGTTAGATTTTATTCAGATCTGAAGCACCAGCCTAGAGTTCTCCCCCTGAACTTCAGCTCAGTGTTATCCAGCTCCTTACTGAACTCATCTGGGCATTCCATACCAGGTTCAGTCCCCAGTGTGATATGCTTTTCTTCTTGCCTTCCTATGACGTTAGTGCTCTAAACAAGTTTTTGTGGTTCTGTGAACCCGTGAAGGCAAGCGCTTTACCACTAGGCCATGCCTGAAGCCCTATACTAATGTTGTAGCTACAAAGATTCTCAAGCCCAAAGATTGGGAATATCGTAGGGCAGAGATGGCGAACCTTTTAGAGCTTTCAGTAATAACAGCTGCAGCACGCATAGCATAGATTCACCACCACTGCCCGTTAATAACTCACTTTGTCATTCTCTGTGTATCTGATTCACCCAGTTATCTCCATCCCTTTAGCCACTGTGCTTTTCCCATATCCCCATCCCCCACCAAAGCTGAGTTACCAGAGGACTCTGTCTGCTCCCAAGCCCTACCCTTTTGCACTGTGAATACACTTCATTTAGGCCTACACCACTTTGTAAGAGGCTTAAATACCTTTTTTTGGAACAGTAAGATATACACATCCTTGCTACCTGAAATATGATTCTCAGGACCTGTGGCATCTGTATTACCAGGGATTGTATTTAAAAATCCTCAATCTTAGTTGGGTGCAGTGGCACACCCCTGTATTCTCAGCTCTCAGAAGGCTGAGACAAGGATCGCCACGAATTTGAGGCCAGCCTGGGCTACAGAGTGAGTTCAAGGGCAACCCTATCTCAGACAAAAATCCTGAATCTCATCCCAGACCTACTATATCAGAACTATCAATCTAACAAGATCTTCAGGAAATTTAACGTGCATGTTAAAGTTTGAGAAGCACTAATTCATAAAACAATTTCTTGCTTCAAGGATCAAGCAAATCACAACAGGAAAATCTGATGAAGCCAGAACTAAGGTTATATTGATAATGTATGCATACAGGCAGGTGGCCTTTAATTTGGATATGGGGAGGAGGATGCTAATTTTGAGGAAGCCACAGAAGACAACTGGATGAAATCAAGATTTTCAGTGTCTTTTTTTTTTTGGCGGGGGTGGGGTGGGGTGGATGGGTGGTTTTTTTTCCGGTACCAGGAATTGAACTCATGACCTTAAGCTTGCCAGGCAGGTGCTGTGCCGCTGAGCTAAATCCCCAGGCCCGTTTTTCAGTGTCTTATAGGTACTAGACTTAGTAGTTAATTCTCTCTAGTCTATCATATCACTGTGCCTACATACAAAAAACCCAAGGCGGTACTTTCTGACCTTCCTTTCTATAAAGTATCAAGTCTCCTCAACCCTACCCTTCCTTAGTTTTTTATGGCAGCTCGAAGGGCAGACCTCCCCTCCATCTTGATGTCTCAGCTGCAGCCTCCCCGGCCCTCGGCTTTTAATCATCCTTTAATTAATCTAAATATCACCTTTTCAGAAAGCCTTCTGTACTCCATGACCTTCCCGCTGTGCTTAAGATCATCAGAGCACTTTCCATCCTGTATTGCACCTGTTTGTTTACTGTGGTGCTGGGGACTGACGGGGTGTGGCACATGCTAGACAGGCGCTATGTCACCGAGCTGCACTCCCAGGCCCAGTCGTGTATAGGAGGCAGCATATGCTGCGATGAAGGGTCCCGACTCTGGAATCAGATAACACTGAATCTCAGCTTCCTTCCCTCCTACAAGATGTGCGACTTTGAATAGAGACTTACCTCTCGGCTTATTTGCTTCGTTGTCAATTGATAGTGCTTAAGTGTACCAAACTGCTGAAGGAATGGGGGGAGTGCAGCGCAGCAAGGGCGGCTGACCCAGCACCAACGTGGGGACAATAACCGGCCGGGCTGCTGAGGCAGATAGACTGTCAAGTGTTGGCACGGGAAGATCTGAAGGCCCGGGCAGAGCCTGGGACCTTTCCCCTGCTTTTCCGCAGACCCGGGCTAACTTGCTAGCGAGTAGGCGGGACCGTCGTATTGAGTGACGGCGGTTGACCCGCCCCGGGCGTGACGTCTTCACAGTGTTGTTGCCTTCTGCCGCACGTGGTCCGTTGAGTCCGCCTGAGACTCAAAGCAGCGCCCCGCTCTGCGGCATCCGCGTCCGCTTTCCTCCTCCTCGCACCCGCAATGTCCACGTCCACAAGCTGCCCCATTCCCGGGGGCCGGAACCGGCTGCCCGACTGTTACAGCAGCACGCCAGGGGGCACGCTGTACGCCACGACCCCAGGAGGTCAGCGGGCGGGGCTGGGTCCTCAGAGGAGGGCGAGGGGCAGGCAGCGTGCTGCTACGAGGCGCGGGTGGAGGCGTGCGGCCTCGGACTAGTCCGCAGGCCCCTCTGGAGGGTGTCACTTTGGGGAATGTGTCTGAAGCCTAAACTAAGTTCCCAAAAACCTGAAAGTAGTAGCACAACAGTGCCTTGAGCCTACCTTCTGGGGAACTCCAGGCTGTGATTCTGTACTGTGGGTTGGGTTCTGGATGTCCTGCGAATGCTTGTTCCCCCTACTGTACTGTCCTGGGAGTGGGAGCTTAGGCCCCTACGGAAAGGGCCTCTGGGAGCCCTGGATCTTGAGAAGCGGTTTGAGCAGTTGGGGGAAAGGGCTTTGGGTGTGTGTGGCCACCTGCTGGCTGTTTGGTTGGGCCAGCAGCCTAGGATCATGAGCTGCTGGGCTCCTGACCCAGGTTCCTGCCACGTGGGTGGAGGGGAGGGGCCCTTTGGGGAAACTGTGCTGGCCAGTTTCCTCTTAGGCTGGGCTGAGGCTTATGGGACTTGGGAGGGGTCAGAATAAAGTGTTCCAGTGTTTCACAGGGTAAGCAGGGTAAGCTCCTCCCTGCAGGAGATAAAAGCCTAGGTGGCAGCCCTGGATGAAACACTTAATTATTTGGCTTTCTGATTTGAGGCTGGACTGCAAGGCGTCACTTTGTGACCCAAAGCAGAGAAGCTCCAGAACACTAGAGGAGCAGCCTTGAGTACCTGAGCTCAGTTTAGTGCTTCTCTTAAGAAACAAGCCCTGAAACTGCCCCTGCCTGGACTGACTGTAATGCCCTACCTGCTTTATGGTGCTTAGATACCTGGTTAGGCCTGGAATTGTCAGTGCTGGACAGGGGTGTAAGATCCTTGCTAAGATCCTGGCTGGGCTGCAGAGCAAATGTCTTTCGAAACACAGCCAATGTGACAACCTGAACTGTCAGCCCCCAAAAGGCCCTGTCTAGGACCCTTGTCACCTGTGTATCCTATTTTGTGACTCTTACACCAGCCCCTACCACTCAACAGGCACCAGAATCATCTACGACAGAAAGTTCCTGCTGGAGTGCAAGAACTCACCCATTGCCCGGACACCCCCCTGCTGCCTCCCTCAGATTCCGGAGGTCACAATTCCAACTGTCCCACCCTCCAAGCTGGAGTTGCTGAAGGAGCAGAAGGAGGCAGAGGAAGAGATACCCGGTAAGGAAAGCAAGAACTAAAATTAAGAAATGCCCAGCCCTTGAGTTTAAATGCCCTTGCAGAGTGTGGGCTCTGTTCCAGGAGGGCTTCTTGCAGATACTGGGCCTGCAGACCCTCAGTGCAGCAACTAGTTTTCCTTTTCTCTCTCCAGATGATGCACAGTTTGCAATGGACATCTAACCCTGTACAGATGGCCGTGTGTGTGGAGTTATAGAGGGATCCCTGTGCCGCCGCTGCCACCACCTCTTCCTGGGGTATTCAAAAGCCAGCTGGCCTCTTCTAGTTGGGAAAGGGGTGACTTAGTTCTGGGCCTCCTTTAATTCTGAGGCAGCTAGACCATGGATGGGAGCTGGCCACTTACCAGGCCCTTAGCTCTCTTTGGTCTGTGGGTACTCATCCCAACCTCCAGCCCTCCGTGCTCAGGGCTGGGACTCGGGGAGAGAGTGTCACTTTTGGGCTGCTTAGTAAACATTCAAAGAAATGTCTTGGCTCCATTGTTCTCAATGCTGATCTCACCTCAGCCACAAAGCTGAGGGCTCCAGCAGACCTAGTTAAGAGGCCCCAGATCTGTTCCCAGTTCCCACTGGGCCCACTTCCAGCAGCAATTACTGCCTAAGGCAAGCTACAGGAGTTGCCAAACCATAAACAGCAATAGCCTATCCTTCCAGCTGCTGTTCTTTTGAGGAAGCTGCCTTCCTGAAAATAGGCCTCCCTTTTCCTGTGGCCCCTCTTTTATCCATTCGTAAGCAGGACCCCTGGAGGAGTAATGTGGTACTTTTCTTCTTCAATTTATATAGCAGGCACTGGGCGTGGTAATGCACGTCTGTAATCCCAGCACTCGGGAGGCTGAGACAGGAGGATTGCTCTGAGTTCAAGGCCAGGCTGGGCTACATAGTTCAAGGCGAGCCTGAACTGCACGGTGAAACCCTGTCTTAAAAAGACTTCCCCCGCCAAAAAAGTTTATACAGCAGATATCCCACTCTAATTTTACTCTCTAGCATCTATATACCTCAAAGATGATATAGTGAAAAAAGGAGTCTTATCTGGGTGTGGTGGCACACACCTGTAATCCCAGTACTCAGGAGGCTGAGGCAGGAGTATCACTGAGTTTGGCGCCAGCCTGGGGTATACACAGTTCAAGGCCAGCCTAAATTACATAGTGAGACCCTGGCTCAAAAAAACAGAACAAAACTCAAAAAGGAGTACTTTTCTTCAGGGCAAAGTCTCCCTGTGCTATCTGGGTCTGTTCTGATGCTGGGATGATATCATCTAAAGACAGGGGTGTTCCATATAGCAGCAAATGTACTCTTCAGTTTAATTTTGAGAAAGTTGCAGGCAACAATCTGGCCAAGCCCAGCAAGGCTTATAATGAGTGGAGGGAGGGAGAATAGAAATTCACAGGGTATGGGACAGTTAAGATCAGAAGGAACCAGTTTGCTGCCCAGTGCCCACCATTGAGATGTTTTTTATTGAAATGCACGTTATAGTTACAAGTGACCTCCCTGTAGCCCAGGCCCAATGGGACAGTCTCTCTGATGGTAAAAGGGAGCCAAGTGAGAAAAGACCTCCCGCACCAAGGCCTAGCAGATGGTGTGAGTCTGGGGAACCACCAGGATTATAGAGCCTCTTGAAAGCCTGGTATGGTCTGGTTCTCAGCTGCTACCTCAGATTTCTCTTCATTTGTCTCTTCCTCTGAAGACAGACTCCTTTTTTCTGCGATTAATCTTTTAACTCCCACCATCCACTGACTGACTTCAGTCACATGGTCAACCATGAGTGAGCGGTGGATGTCATCTGCTGCATCCCACCGATGGCTTGAAAGCTCTGAGGAGAGAGAACTTGAGGAAGCAGACTGGGATAAAAGAGACAGTAGCTTCCATGCCTCTCTTCCCAGTAAGTCACAGCTGCAGTACCTGTTCAGCTCCACCAACTATGGCAGTACCTGGGACTTCCAGGACATTAAGGAACTCACCCATACCTTGCACCAGTAGTGCCATCCTCTTCTTTACAGGAGTTGACAACTTTCCTCCTGCCCACTGTTCCTGTAGCAGTGCCAAGCGTCGGCTGATGTCATCACATACCTGCTTCTGAGAGACACAAGGCCCTTCACTCAGTGCTGCCAGCCCAGCAGGGGGATGGGAAGGCAGCACCTCTTGGGAAGCACCTACTTTCCATGGCCTGGATCTCTATGCTAGAGTTCTGATTCTTTACACAAAGGTTAGAGGCCCCTACTGAGAACCTGATGAAATTTATGGATCTCCTCCCAAGAAAAAGTGCAGATATGGCTAGAATTCTTAAATCTCAGCGACTTCTTAGAATCTTATCATGCTACTTTACAAACAAGGAAACTTAAGAATTGAAAAGGTAACATTACAATGTTACTTCCTCTTTCCTTGAGCCCTTGCTTCCAGAGAGCTTAGGAAACAATAGGTAGAGGCTACTCTCTCCCTTGCTGAGCACAGTATATATTCTCTGAGCCCAGTTAGGAGTGTGTTCTCTGAATGACCTGAACGTACAGAAAATCATGCTGCTATTTTTACTAATGAGAGCTGAATTCAACTCTTACTCCTGTAAGCCTCTACGACTGACTGAGATGTTCTATGAAACCTCTTGACATCCTATGTTCATTTTCCTGGGAAAGCCTTAGCAGATTCTGAAGGGGCCCATAACTATAAAAGAATTAGAAGCCATTGCTCAGAGGGTCTCTCTCTCCTTTGGAAGCCATAGCTGCATCTGGCTATGGATAGGAGTACTCTCTGCCCCTGGAGTGCCAGGGCTTACCCTTGTGTGGCCATGGCAGTCCTCCAATGCTTGTTCCAAAGGTCTCAGCACATCCTCTATCAAAGCCTCAGATTCAGTGACTGGAAAACCCATGGGTTCCACATTGGAGGCAGGGCAGCTCCCCACAGGTGGGAGCCTGAGGGCCTTACTTGAAGGAGGTGGAGGCCCCATTGGAGGGGGCCCAGAAGTCTCTGAGGTAGCAACTGAAAAGGTAAAGCAGAATTGAGCAACATGGCTTAAACAGATAAGAAACCATTCTAAACTCACTTCTGCCCGGCGTGGTGGTGCATGCCTGTAATCCCAGCACTCATGAGGCTGAGGCAGGAGGATCGTTGTGAGTTTGATACCAGCCTGGGCTACAAAGTGAGCTCAAGGCCAGCCTGAACTGCATAGCAAGACCCTGTCTCAAAAAGACAAAAAAATAAAATAAAATAAAATAAACTCACTTCTAAGCAGAACTTACTCTATGGGACAACTCATTTCATTCAAAAGTGGGTATAAAAGCTGGGTATGGTGATACAGATGTATAATTCCAAGGCATGGTGATCACAAGTTCAAGGAGAGCCCAGGCAACTTAGTAAGACATACCCTCACCCCACCCCCAAAAAAGCCTGGGGATGTAGCAAGGTGGTAGAGTGCTTGTCTAGCATACAAGATGTTCTGGGTTCAACCCAGGACTAGCGGGGAAAAAGCCAGGTGTGGTAGCACATGCTTATATTCCCAGTATTCCAGACTATGGCAGAGGGGTCACAAATTTGAGTCCAGCCTGGGCAACTTAGTGATGAGCAAGACCCAGTCACAAAGTAAAAAGGGCTGGAATACAGCTCAATGAAGACACTGGGTTCCATCCCAAGTACTGTAAAAGAAAAAAAGTATATAAAATCCCTATTATACAGTTTTCCAGGTACCAAGGATAAAAAAAACAAATGGACTGGGTTCCTGGCCTCAGAGAAATTAAATTCTAGAGAGAGAGGAGAAAAAACACAAGAATATTATCAAATTATGTGCTACAAAGAGACTGCGAAGAAGAGGAACAGCGGGAATGAAAGCCTTCCCAGCTCACCTCAGCTCATGTGATCTGTGTCCTCCAACAAGTTATTTGTAACCTCTAAACTTGGGTTCCTCTAACATAAAACAGGGGGTTACAACACTTCAATAACGACTATGAATATAGATGCAGCTGACAGATTAGTGTGCAGCAAAAACTACTCCAAGTTAGAGTTTTTATTGAGTTGAGAACTAAGGGATACAATAAATCCATCTATAAAGCGTTGAAAGAACAAGTACTGTGTAGAGGTAAGAGCAGTGTTCAAAAGGCAGGGACAGTCTTGTTCAAGGGGAGAAAAAAGGCCTGTATGGCTGGAAATTACTAGCATTGAAGAAAGTAATAGGAGCTGTTACTGGAGAGATTAAGCACAGGATCCAGATCCGGAGTTGTTTGGTTCTGACCTAAACAGTCCTGAGAAGCCCCCACAGGTTTATAAAGCCCCGGGGTAATGTGACCAGACTTACTTCTGGTTAACAGAGGAAAGAATGCTGGTACTGACTACGGTGGAGGAGGAGAGGAAATGGAGTTGTCTGAGATTTTACGTAGGAGGAGGTGCAGGGCAATAGCATGCGGTGGTTGGGGGTGAAGGAAAGGAGTGAAGAAAGTGAAGAAAGACTGGAAAAGGAGAGGCAAGAACATTTAGGTGGGCTGGGGATATAGCTCAGGGGCACGGTGCCTGACTGGCAAGCTCGAGGTCCTGTGTTTGATTCCCAGTATCAAAGAAAACCTTTTAGGCATCATCCTCTGTAAGGATAATTTATGCATTAATAATCTGCCCTCTGGTTACCTGACCACTGTTACTTCTCTATGATCACTTTGTCCCACCTTTTCATTCCCCTTTGTTTTGCTCACAGTACTGTATCACCTCCAAAATCTGATCATCCCTTCTTCCCACACTTCCAGCTCAACTATTCAGATTTTGTGAGGAATTAAATATCAGTCCCTAGCCAAGCAAGGTGGCACACGCCTGTAATCCCAGCACGATGAGGCTGAGGCAGGAGGATTATTGTAAGTTCAAGACTAGCCTGGGCTACAAAGTGAGTTCAAGGCCAGCCTGAACTGCACAGCAAGACCCTGTCTCAAAAAGACTAAATAAATAAATATCAGTCCCTTATAAATACTTTCTTTGGAGACAGGGTCATGCTACGTAGTTTACACTGGCCACAAACTATGTAGCCCAGTCTGGCATCAAACTTGCTGTGATGTCCTGCCTCAATTTCCTGATGCTGAGATTACAAGCATGCACAACAGCTCCTTTATAAACTAACACACACACACACACACACACACACACACACACAGCCCCCTCATCTCGCTGTCACTCTCCCCCCACCGCCGCCCCTTATTAAGCCATTCTACTACTTAGACCATTGCCTGCACTTGTAAGGAAAAACAGAACCATGCTGTGACACTTTATAATTTAATACTTCCCATGGCCACAGATTTTAAAAGGTGCGCCATACTCCCTCATTTTCCCACTCTTGAAAATTATTTTTTCATCTTCCTACTGTCTTTCTATATCTGACACTGCCTTATGTTTCACTATGAAAACATTTGTCATCAAACAGGAACTCTTATCTTCCCAGCACCAGTTCTACTAACCCACTACATCTCTGGCTACTTTCTTCCTCCTCTTACAGGGCAAAGGTTCCTGCTGCTATCAAAGCCATCTCACTGCTGTAGTCTGCAAACCAGCCTCTCCTGTCTTCAGGCCCCCCTCCTGCAATTATCCCTTTTCTCCTGCATCATCAGTTCTGGTTCTCTACTGAGTTACTCATCAGCATATAAACATTCTGTAGTAGATACAGTACTGCTCAAGACAACCCTCCCTTCACACCATTCCATTTTCAGACACTCTACTTAACAGAATTTCTTAAACGAATTGTCTGTAATTATTCTGTATTTTTCATATTATCTTCAGCCATTCCAGCTGACTTTGTTTTCACCAAATCCACAGACACTGTGCTTGTTAAGGTCATCTTAACAATTGCAGTGTTTAAAAAAAAAAAAAAAAAAAAATTGCAGTGTTTGCCAAATGTAATGGTCCCTTTCTTGCTTGACTTTGCAGCAGCATTCTTCGCTGTTGAGTCATTTTTATTCTCTCATATTCTTCTTTGGCTAGTTCTCAGTCTTCTTTGCTGACTCCTTCTCCACACAACCTTGAAATGCTGGAATGGCCTAGGACCTTGTCTTGGATCCTCTTTAGGCAACTATTCACACTTTTATGTAACCTTATTCAAGCCTATAACATCAAATATCCATACGAGTGTGACTATTTCTCTAAGTGTAGCCTAGACTTCTCCCAAAGATAGCCCAAACTAAACATTATCCAAACCAAAAGCCTCTTTCCTCTCTCTAAAAAAATCTGTGTCCCCCAATCTGCTATCAGAAAGAAATGAAAGTTTTATCGATTCCTCGTCTGTCATTCCTTTCTCCATAACATATCCATCATCCAATTCCTACCACCCCTATGGCTACTATCCTCATCAAATTATTAAATCTTGTCTATATCAACACAGTAATTTCTTGACTTATCTTTGCATTTCTTCCCCCCAAAAACCTTGTTTTCTGCACAAGACATTGATTTTTTTTCGAAGATGTGTATCAGTCAGTGGTTCTCTAAACTGGGGAGACTTTGCCCCTGAGGCTGTCTGGCCACAGTTGGGTGGGTGCTACTACCATATAGTAAGTAGAGGTCAGAGTTTCTGCTCAAAAACCTACAGGACAAAGACAGTTCCCCAAATAGGAATAATCTAGACCTATATAACAATAGTGCTGAGGTTAAAAACTATGCCTTATATCAGCGATGGCAAACCTTTTAGAGCTTTCAGTGACACAAGCAGCCCACTGCAACACAGCACACATGCCACAGGTTTCCACCACTGCCCTGTATCATTCCTTTGCAGGGGAAAGCATGGAGGCATGCTGAAAGAATGAAACCTGAGACCCTTTGGGAGGACTACAGCTTACTTACTGGCCTGGGAAATTTGGAGGTGGGGGGATGCACAGGCAGCATTTAACTTTTCAGTGCCTTCCAACTTTAAATAAATTAAAATACAAACTCCTATCTTGGTGTAACTTACTACACTGTAGCCATTTTGTTTCTGTAGTCTCTGAAACGGCCAAATGTCTTCTTATTTTAGGGCCTTGGCACTAGCTGCTTCTCATGCCTAAAATGTTTTTGAGCCTGATCTTTGGGGGAGGGGGCTGAATCTTGGGCCTCTGCACTGAACTACGTAAGTCCCCAGCCTTTTGTTTTTGAGACTGTCTCCTTACAAAATTCAGGCTGTCCCTGAACTCACTATGTAGCCCAAGCTGGCCTCAAACTCGTAGCGATCCTCCTGCCCCAGCCTCTCTGGAGTCCTGGAATTACAGGCGGGCACCATCACTGCCGGCCACCCCAAGTCCTTTTTAAATTTTTGAGACAGGATTTCAGAGTCATTCTGTTACCCAGGCTGGGCTTGTCTTCCTCCTGCCTCGGCCTTTCTCAGAGTGCTGGGATTTTTGCAGGCTGACTTAATGCAGATCTCAAATGTCAGCCCCTCAGCTCATTTTGTTACCTAGTAACACATCACCCGGGTTTACTTTCCTACAAGCCCTGTCACCAATTTATCTATTTTCAACGCTACAGTACAGACTTCATGAAAACAGAGATCATTTGTCTTTCCCTGTTTAGTTTGCCCTCTTACGTGCTTAGTAAAAAATACTGATTGAATGAATGACACATTAAGTATGAAGTGCTTACTACATACCCAAGTAAAGACATAAAAACATACATATACCACTATGAGGCTTTGGGAAAAGGTCTAGGTTGGATAAAAAATTCAAAGTAATATAAATAATTTGGGCATAGTCTCGCTGAGATCACACAGGATGAAAACATAGGCTACTTTTTAAAATCAAAATTCCACTTACTGACCTGAGCAGCAGAAGGGAAACTCAGAAAAGCGCCTGCCCTGACCTCCTTCCTGGGATCCCAACCTTTCCTTATGGAGTCCTGGGAGGAGGAAAACAGGCCCTGGAGACCAGCCTGACCGTCGGCCCGCCCCTGCCCGGCGGGCGTTAGCGCATCGGGACCCCACGCACCTCTCGGGGATCCATCCTGGGGGGCGGCGATCCTCTTGGTGAGCGGCGTGCGCTTGGGTCCGCCAGTCTGGGTCTGCAGCCCGTAAGAGAACTGCGGCGGATCATTCCAGCCGCGCTCCTTGTTGCCTGCAGAGACAGGGGAAGTGTAAAACGAGACCGACCTGCTCGAAGGCTGTATCGGGGTTCAGGGAGATAGGCGGTGCGCCCCCACCCCGCTGGCCGCGCCTCACCCGGCTTCACGTACAGCTCCGCCATCTCCACTTCCGCACCGCCAGCGCGGCAGCGCGTCACTTCCGAGGCGGCCGCTCCGCGTTCTCTGCCAGCCGGGGCTCCGAGCGCTTGAGGCGGGGCAGACTTACAGCCGCCCGTCTTAGGGCACCGCACCATCTCCCTGTGGGACTAGGTATCTCCTTCAGCTAATGATCCCCGGGGTCCTGGTCACAAGGCACCAAGCGAGGGTGTTTTTCCAAGGAGCTGGTGCTCCTAGAGCCCTAGTCCAATCTCTGTCCGGTCTTTCCCACTTGTTCTAAGGTGCAAGTTCAAGCCTAAAACCTCCTCCTCCCCGTGTGATCTAGTGAACCCCGACCTCTGGAGCCTCATCTCCGTCCACTGCCCTCTAGGCTTGCTAACTAGTTATCTTCCTTCAAAACTTAGATGTCAGCTCTTCAAGAAGTTTTCTGTGATGTCTTAGGCCACTTTGAAGTGTCACCCGAGCTCCCAAAACCCTTTGAGACTTTCTAGTTGTCCTACATGTTATCTTCTATCTCCTTTGCCTCCTTCCGTCTTCTCAGTAATACCGTAAAGGTGGGATTCGTATAGTCCCAATGCCTAGCTTAATGCCTCACGCAGAGCATAGAAATGTTGAATGAACTAAGGTCAGACTTCCATCACATCCATGCCCTCAGGTGACTACTGACAGCCACCAACACCAAGCACACACCTCACACAGGTTATGGCCCCCAGTCCTATCCCAGGCCCAATATACTCACACCTAGTGAGGTCACTGAGGGATTTTTATTTGCACTGATTTTGCTATGAAGTGTTGCTGAGGTAGAGCCAATTGCCCAGGGCTGGACGGGGGCAAGGAACGAAGGGACGCAAGGAAAGGAAGTGGGAACCAGGGGCCTAAGTTGTAGTGCAGGTCCTCTCAGTCACTGATATAAATAATAAATTGGGAAATAAATAGAGGGTAGATAAGAATCAGGGGTAGGAAGACAGGTGAGAAGCTACAGGCCCCTGGGGAATAGAGGGGTATAGACTTGGGCACAGATTCAGAGCCTCCTTCTCCAGCCCTCTAATATCACTTTAGGGCATATGGAGGAGAGACGGTTTCAGCCGGAAGGCATCAAGAAAAGAGAAGACACCCCGCTTTCGAGGGGCTGCCCCTGCACCCCCAACCCCTCCTTTGAGTAGGGGGAGAGGCAGGGGACCTCCTGGGGAGTCCACGGAGCTGGTCCTCTTGAGCCGCAGGCGGGCACGGGCCTGGGCACCCCAGGCCTTGCCTCGAGCTGCAGAGGCCACAAGACATTTCTGGTACTGAACCTAGGGAGAAGGGGAACGTGAAGATCCGGCTACTCTCTGCCCCTGGATTCTCTGAAAGCTTCTGCAGGGCAGCAAGCTGGCCAAGGTTTCTGTCTGATACAAGACTGATAGTTGGCATAGCAGCACACCCTATAGCATTCCCAAACAGCTCAACACAGAAAACACAGAACTTCACATTTACTGAGCACTTAAGGAGGGCTACACTCTTTGTCCTTTGTACACTAATCTAACTTTATCCAGTTATTTCTGAGGTGTTATTATCCCCAGTTTGCAAATGAGGATATTGACTCAGAGAAAATAAATGATATACCCAAGGTCACAGCCACAAACTAGTAGACTTGTCATTCAAACCTAGTTCTGACTGTACAGCCTGTACTCTTAACCTCACCTACTACCATGCTGTCTGTGCTCTCTCACTGGAGCAGACCAGCTCCCTGGCAAAGCAGCTTTACTAGGCAACACAACTGCCCCAATCATATCTCTTCTGAACTTCTTTCCTGCCTCCTAATTTGTGTCTTCAAAATCTTTCACCTTACTATAGAGGAAGTGGTTGTCCTAATGCACAAATCTGACCTCACTCTCCTGCTCAAAATCCTTCAATGGTTCCTAGTATCTCAGGACAAAATGAACTTATCATCTGACCTATAAGGTTCTCCTTGACCACGTTTCTGCCATTCTTTCTGCCCTCTTCTCTCATTACATCTTCCCTGCACACCACATACACTAAATTCTTTCAGATACTCTAATCTGCTAACATCTCTGTCACCAATAGTGCTTGGCGTATTTACCATACTCCCCTCCACCTGGCTAACTTCCTCTTGAGGCCTTTCAGTTTTCTATCATTTCTTACAGGTAGCCTTCCTCAACCCTGAAAGGCCATCTTGTTCAGCATCGGGTGGTGTACAACTTTCTGGTGTGTTTCTGCTTTATCCTAAGTGCTCTGTAAAGGCAAAAGCTGTGCCTTCTAGACTGCTGATTTCCCGGTGTCAAGTGTGGTGCTCATACTGTGCATTCACATTTGTTCAATGAGTAAATGAACTGAACTAATGGATCTTAAGCATCAAACATTTGGATAACCACAGATGCCAAGAAATAACCTAATGAGAGGGTCAGGCAAGACAATGCCAACCCTTTAGGCATAGCCCTTACACAACTCCACATGCATGCTGAAATGTATGTGTAAACCCTATCAAGGATCCTCATGCTCCAAGAAAAGCAGGCATAGGGAGCCGGGGATTTAGTTCAATGGCACAACACCTGCCTGACAAGCGCAAGGTCGTGAGTTCAATACCCGGTACCAGAAAAAAAACGTGGGGGGGGGGGGAGAAAAGAAAAGCAGGCACAGCAATTACTATGTAAAATGTCCTGGCCTTTAAATATTGGAATATATCCAAAACTGACTAAAAACAGAATGAGGGCCAAAATATTTGTGAACCAGTGAGCGCTAGATCATTGGCCTGTGATCTGTGGAGAAGCTGCTGAACTTCATTGAGCTCAGTCCCTAGTACAGAGCAGCAGCAAAGCAATACCACCCCTCCCACCCACCTGTCCCCCCCCAACTCACCATACAGGCAGCCTGCACAGCTTCAGAGAGTCCCCCAGCATGGGGCTGGCACCAGAAGGCTGCACACTGGAAGCTCTGACGGCCAAGGTCAGCAATGAGGCCAAAGGTGTGAGGGTCATGGCCAACACCAATAAAGGTCACAAGGCGCACAGGGCACTGCCACAGTGGCTCCTCTTCTGCACTGGCTTCTGCCTGCCCACACCACACCTAGTCACTAGAGGGCCAAGGACTGGCTAGACCCACTCTCTTCCAGCAGCAGGCAATGGCCCCCTCAGCATCCCTGCTCACCCTCCACCAACCTCATCCTTTGCTGGTACCTGAATGGGGTATGCAGTCATGACAGAGTCAGATACACTGAGCATGGCAGGGACCCAGGTGTTCCGGTCCCCCCGGGCGGTGAGAGTACCAATGGCCTCGTTCAGCACATCCATGCCTGGAGGGACATGCCCACTGTGGTATCTCCCAGTGGTTACGAAAATAAAGAAGGGTTCTGCCAAGAGTATCTCGGTCCCCTCTCACTGACTTGGGATTCAGAAAGATGGGATGAGAACAGCAGAGACTGGGCTTAGAACTCTATACTGGGAAAGCCAATACATCTAAGGCTATGTAAGGCCATGGGAGGACTCAGAGAAAGGGTGATAGATCCCATCTCACTCTCCTCCCCTTGCTTTATGTAGCCCAGCCCATCCAGCTCTCCCACCCCCATCCTCACCCATGGCTTTGGTGACTGGCAGCATCCCCATGTATAATGCCTCGTACTTCTGAGCAGCTTGGCTCACCGCATCCAGCAGTTCCACTGAAATATACACACCAAGTTGGCCGGGGAACTCTCTCAGTTATCTCTTTCCCCACCCTTCTGAATAGGCCAGGACCCAAGCCAGAGCTGTTGCTAATAGAAGAAAGTCCATGGATGCTCCTCTAATTCAGGGCTTGGGATCCCTGGGATCAGATCCCTAGGCTCAGACACATCTTGAAGGAAGTTAAATAACCAGGAAACACCCCTCTCCACCCCTACTACCACTCCCATCTTTCCCCAAAGCAGCCTGACTCTACAGTGCAGCAACTCCCTCCCATACCTTGTCGAGGAAGGTCTTCGGGAGAGATGGGGTCTGGGGAACAGCAAGCACCATCACCACTGACCCCAACTCGTTCTGACAAGATCTAAAACACAATATGGTCAGCATAAGGCCCAGGGTATGGGGAGGGAGCCAACTATCCCAGAAGTTTCAGCCCTAGTTCCACACCCACATTCCCTGCCCTACCCGTGGCCCCGTACCTGGGCACAAAGCCCATGCAGAGCACTTGCAATGGCCTTGGCAGGAACATCACAGCGAAATACATGACACTTGAGCATACAGCTGTCTTTGTCACCCGCCACAAAAGCAAAGTCCCTGGCAGAGGCAGAAATGGGGCTGTGGTAGAGCTGGTTAGGGGCAAGGACCTATAATGCCTAAAAAGGGGCTTTTAATGTTGACCTAGGGACAAGTAAGGATGGGGTAGAGAAGTCAGAGCTGGGGTTCAAGGCACACGGTCGTCACATACCTGTCACTATTCCAGAAGCATGTGGGAGCATAAGAGAGAATCAGCCCAGCCTCTCAGGCTCTCTCCTATCTGTCCCTGTGGAGCTGGGCCCACCCTCCCCAACCAGGGCTGGACCAGGCAGGGGAAGCAGTGCTGGGTCCATCCTAGAATCTGTGTCCAGGGGTTCAAGTACCAGGGACCAGCATCAGTGGATATCACAGCCTGCACAGGAGGGAGAAGCAGCTCTCGCCTGGGGGATGCAGAAGTCCTCACCGGCCCTTGGAGCTGCCTACGCCCCATACACGGATGTGCACCAGAGGCTGGCAGTGGATCAGACTGTGGTCCAGGGGATTCACCAGACTCATGGCGTCTTTCTTCAGGATCATCAGCATGTTCTGGCCCTGCCAAGGACAGAGGTTGACCCAAAGATCAGCTAAAGGTGACTGTCATAGAGAACAAGCAATTTGGGGACAACTATCTCTGCTGGACCATAAACAGAACCCTCTGGGGCAAAACAACTCACCTCACCCCAAGCACCATCTGGGGGCTGGCTCCGGTTACACGTCTGGGCCAGCTGCTGGATACAGTTATTGACCGCAATACTGCTCTTCCCTGGTGCCAGGTCATCTTCTGGTACCTCCACCCAACCCAGAGAACGGACTGCAAAGCACTGACAAGTTGGGGGAAGGGACAGGAATGAGTACAGGTGGAACCGGTCATCAAGTGCCCAAGGCTCCACCCATACAAATGGTAGTCCCTCCCTTCACCCCGATCATGTCTGCTCAGGCCAGTTGCACCCCTTGTCTTTCTATCAGGATCACCCCAATGCCCTGAGCCCCAAATCACCTTAGCCCCTGCTTCCAGACTCTGGATATAGGATTCTTCACCATACCAGGTCAGAGAGTTACTAGAACAGAAAGCATAGCTTGTGAGGACCACAATTCCTACAGTAAGGACAATGGTGAGGCCAAGGCTACTTCATCAGCACACGGCTAGGGAGGACACTCAGAATATAACTCCACAAATATAAAACCTGAGCATGGTAGAACACAGGAAATATTAAATTATGTACATATATGGCTTGATATTTGATGGAAAATTCAGGACACAGGACCCAGACATGGGGCATAAAAGCTACAAATGTGTAGCAGTATCCAAAATGTGGGTAAGAGTCCAAAACTGGGATGAGATCAAGAACACAAAATAGGATCCTCCATAGAACATAAGACAACGGCCAAAGTTTACAACATGATAGGTCAGGACTACACTATAGAAAAGAACATGTAGCTAATGACAAGAGCTGAGAACAAGGGCCAAAACTGAGAATCAAGAATACAGGACGAAGCCAGAACAGGACCCAAAAAGACAGAGTCCAGAACCTAAGCTGAAAAACCGACTGCAGGTCCAGCTGCATTTTTTTTTTTTTTTTTTTGAGAGGGTCTCACTATGCAGTTCAGGCTGGTTTTGAACTCACTATGTAGCCCAGGCTGACCCCAAACTTGTAATCCTCTTGCCTCTGCCTCATGAGTGCTGGGATCAAGGCGGGCATCACCACACCCAGCTCCCAGCTGCATTTTTGAGTGTCATGGAACCCCAAGCCTTTCATTAGTCTGGGCCATCCCTGTTACCTCCGGTCCAAAGAGCTCTCCAGGCTGGAGAAAGATCTTCCTTTCGGGGGGCGCAGTCCCCAAACCACCTTCGGGCCCTGCAGAGTAGGGGTTAGTCAGTGCAGCCAGAGGCCTAGATCCACACTTGAGCTTAGGTCCTGCTCCTTGCATTTCACCTACCGTGCCCGGGTCCTCTGCATCTCCTACTTCCCAGGTTGGGCGCTGCCACTGGGTGCTACCGCTGGGTACATGCCAATAGTAAGTACCTGCAGCATCATGGATCTTCCTCCAGCCAGGGGGCAGGCCTGGCTCCCCCTCCAGATTCTGGTCCCCCCACAAGTCATCTATAGGAACAACACATTGCAGAGGAGGGGCATATTATTCGCGAGTTCAGAACACCTCGTCATTACCCTCCCACCATTCCAGAGGGGCAGCCCTTAGGGTAGAACTTCCGGCTCCCCAATCTTAAAAGACACTGCAACATCAGGGTTTATTTGTCCCCTCGTCCTCACACGGAAACGAACCCTCTACCGCGTCTCTGAGTCCAGAGGCCAGTGCCTTTCTCCCGCATCTCCCCGCCACCCTACTCCTCCCGTCTGGCCCTTCAGTGCACACCGTCGCAGTTAACCAGAATGATGGCCAGCATGTAATCCTTGCCCAGCATAGCCCAGCCGCGTCCCCGCCAGCAGGCACTCTCAGCGAAGCGCGACCTCCGGAGCAGCTTCACCTACAAGTCCAGCCTCTCTGCGCCGTACAATGCCAAGCCAATCCGCGCCGCACAAACACTGGGTAGGACAGGGGCCGGATTGCGGGGGGTGGGGGGGGGGGGGGGGGGGGGGGGGGGGGGGGGGGGGGGGGGGGAGGCGGGCCTAAGCAGCACCGCCCTCGGAAGGGGGTTGTCTGGAGCCTCGAGTGGGTGCGTGTTTCCGTGCCTGGGGATAAGGGAGGAGCACAGACGCCAGCCAACTCGGACACCACCGCGCAGCTATGAGCTCAGCAGCCGACGGAAAATCAGCAAAGTGAACGTGCACCGCGTGCACTCGCGCTTGAGTGAGATCATCGCTGGGTCGTTTGCGCGCGCACACGCAGCCGGGAGGATCACGTAAAAGTGTCTGAGAGATCACTCGCGCTCGGTGCTAGGAAAATGCCCCACCCTTTCCAGAAATGCCCCGGAAGTTCTTCGCCCTCAGTAAAGATGGCTGCAGTATTGGCATGAGGGAGGCGGGTCTGCGCCTGCGCAACAAGTTCGGCGGGGAAGATGGCGGATGACAAGGTAAGTGAGTGTGAGGTGAGCTTAGGTCGGGGTTGGTCTTTACACTTAACAACCTTTTTAGCTTCAGGGAGGGAGGACTTTTTAGTTTAGGAATATGACTCGGAGGTGGGGATACCCCTTGTTTTCCCTGGGCTCTATGGGCTACCTCAGTGAAGGGTGGCGTGAGGGCCGTTTTAGGTGAGGCGGGCTGTGCGGAGTATTGCCCCCCAGGTGTTTCCTCCTGGCGACATCACGATGCCCAGTTACTAGCGCTCATGCAGACATTCACCCTCACCACCCAGAGACAGCGTTTCCAGTCCACAGGCGCATTCATACCACCTTCATTCAAACACTTCCTTGCTCGTAAGTTCATACTTACCTGCGATCAGAATCACTCACTTATTCACACTTCTGCCGACGGTCATTCTTTGTTACTTCTAGTTGCTCCCATTCAGTTTGGGATGGCCTTGGAAGTAAAGGAAGAAAGCCCCAGGAGAAACAAGCTTTATCCCCCAATTGTCTAGCGATCTGCTTCAGTTGATTATACACTACTGATCTAAAAGCCCAGCATCACCCACACATTTACTAAGTTCCTCCCAGTCCCTCTGTCAGACACTGAGACAGCAGGCAGGACAGTCTGATGGCCATTTGCAGAGAGTTCATAGTTCCTCCAAAGTGCTTTCCTCCCAGGCTTGATTGAAGGTCTCCTAGCCTAACTGAAGGTGCCTACTCCCTTCCTTACACACTACTTGCTGTATGAGACTCCTGTAGAAGTTCTTTCAGGTTATTTACACAAATTCCATTTGTTATCCTCTCCCTGGCCCTCATGTCAATTCTGTGCTTTTAAATGCTTTTCTTCTTTTACTGTTGCCATCTTGAGAAGGTTTTATAGAAAGATATTTCTCAAGACACACACTCTCCCCAACTCCCAGCCTCATGGAAACGAGCAGAGTCCAGGACAGGGTCAGTCTGCTGAGCTAGCCTCTCCCTTGTCCTAGGATTCTCTGCCCAAGCTTAAGGACCTGGCATTTCTCAAGAACCAGCTGGAGCGCCTGCAGCAGCGAGTGGAAGATGAAGTCAACAGTGGTGTAGGCCAGGTATGGGCTGTCCTACCCCTTGCCTTAAGTTCCATTGCCCAACTTGCTTTGAGGATATTGAATAGGTTTATTCACCAAATGGTTGTGGTGGGCTTGCTCTTAGGAAAATTTCCCTAAGAGCACAGTACGTGAACTAAAATCTAGTAGGGGGTAACTAGAATAGGGGTTAGTTAGTGTAGCAGCATGGCAAGAATGAACTTTCCAGACAGATGGAAGAGCATATGCACACATAGCAGCATTATAAGCACAATATGAGGAAAGAAGGTCAGTTTGGCAGCAGCACTAGGGGAATGTCCAAGAAGTGAGGCTAGACTTCCTAGGGCATCCCTGGCCTTCTTTTTTCTTTTTTTTTTTTTTTTTTTTTTTTTTTTTTTTTTTTTTTTTTTTTTTTTTTTTTTTTTTTTTTTTTTTTTTTTTTTTTCTTTTTTTTTTTTTTTGTCTTTTTGAGACAGGGTCTCCCTATGCAGTTCAGGCTGGCCTTGAACTCACTTTGTAGCCCAGGCTGGTCTCGAACTCACAAAGATCCTCCTGCCTCAGCCTCCCAAGTGCTGGGATTACAGGTATGTACCACCATGCCTGGCTATCTCTGACCTTCTGACTGTAGGCTTCTAAGGTTGGAACTTTCTGACCACCCCCCAAATTTTTTTTTCCCTTTTTTTGAGACAAGGTCTTGTTTTGTAGTTCAGGGTGGTCTTGAATTCACTATGTAACCCAGTCTGGCTTGAATTCTCAGCAGTCCTCCTGCCTCAGCTTCTGAGTGTTGTGATTACAGGGGTGTACCACCACACCTAGCGTGACCCCAGGATTCTGAGATTGTATTATCAGGACTACTCTGAGTTCTCTTTCTAGCTTCATACACTTGAGAAAATCTTGGGTGAAAATACCACAGCTGTCCAGAGTAAGGACAAGCAAGTAATACAATGAGTAATTCTTGGGTGGAGAAAGGAGAGAGCCTGCCTGAGTTTCTTTCCACATCTTTCTCTGCAGGATGGCTCACTGTTGTCCTCCCCATTTCTCAAAGGATTCCTGGCTGGCTATGTGGTGGCCAAACTGAGGGCATCAGCAGTATTGGGGTTTGCCATGGGTACCTGCACCGGCATCTATGCGGCTCAGGCATATGCTTTGCCCAACGTGGAGAAGACTTTGAGGGACTACTTCCGATCACTGCGCAAGGGTCGCGACTAGCTCCAGATCCCATGGGGGAGGACAGATGAGCAACTGGGCCTGCAGGTGGAGGCCTTTTGGCCACAGACACACTGTCTGGCTTCCCCAGCTGTCATCCATCTGTCCTGCCACCTTCATCTTTGCTTTTTTTCCTGCAGAGGCTGTACAGTGGCTTGTCAGCCTGTACCCTGGATTTCTTCTGTCCCTGGCTCCACGGGGCTGACCCCAAGACTGTGGTTTACCTCTTCCTCTTCTAGCCCTAACTGTGGAATGTGCAGCTGACTCTGATCTTCAGTGTTCTCTCTGGCAATGTACCACAGCTTCTCCCTCTCAAGAGCTGGCTCTGTAACTTGATTGGGTCCGAATCCCTTTGCCCCTTGGTAGCTACAAAGAGTCTGATTGGGGCATGAGTGTAGAGGAGGGGGGTGTACCAGGCCTGGGCCGTCACAGGCAGGCCCGTTGGACCCTGATGCTACTCCTGTCCACTGCCATGTACGGTGCCCATGCCCCATTGCTGGCACTGTGCCTTGTAGATGGCCGAGTACCCTTCCGTCCCTCCTCAGCTGTGCTGCTCACTGAGCTGACCAAGCTACTGTTATGCTCCTTCTCCCTCCTGGTAGGCTGGCAAGCATGGCCTGCAGCGGGCCCACCCTGGCGCCAAGCTGCTCCTTTTGCACTATCAGCCCTGCTCTATAGCGCCAACAACAACCTGGTGATCTATCTACAACGTTACATGGACCCCAGCACCTACCAGGTACTGAGCAATCTCAAGATTGGAAGCACAGCCTTCTTGTACTGCCTCTGCCTCCACCACCGCCTCTCTGCGCGCCAGGGGTTGGCACTACTGCTACTGATGATCGCAGGGGCCTGTTATGCAGCAGGTGGCCTTCAAGACTCTGTAAACACCCTTTCAGGGCCCCCGCCAGCAGCTGCTGCAAGCCCCATGCCCCTCCATATCACTCCCCTGGGACTGCTGCTCCTCAGCCTGTACTGCCTCATCTCAGGCTTGTCCTCTGTGTACACAGAGCTGCTCCTGAAGCGACAGCGGCTACCCCTGGCACTGCAGAACATCTTCCTCTACACTTTTGGTGTGCTCCTGAACCTTGGTCTTCATGCAGGCAGTGGTCCTGGCCCAGGCCTCCTGGAGGGTTTCTCAGGATGGGCAGCGCTCGTGGTGCTGAGCCAAGCACTCAATGGGCTGCTCATGTCCGCTGTCATGAAGCATGGCAGCAGCATCACTCGCCTCTTTGTTGTGTCCTGTTCATTGGTGGTCAATGCTGTGCTCTCAGCAGCCCTGCTTCGACTGCAGCTCACAGCCACCTTCTTCCTGGCCACACTGCTCATCGGCCTGGCTGTGCGCCTGTACTATGGCAGCCACTAGCCCCTGACTATCTCCAGTCACTTGCTTACCCTGTACATTGGGTGCCACCACTAAAGCACCTCCCAGGCCTCCCCCAGCCTCTCTTCAGCAGCCCTGTAACAAGTGCCTTGTGAGAAAACCTGGGGAAGTGAGAGCAGCCAGGTTAGTCTGGAGGTGGTGGGTGAAGGGGTACCCCTAGGAGACATAAAGAGTGCGTTTGGTTAAGAAAACCTTTTTTTTTTTTTTTTGGTACTGGGAATTGAATGCAGGACCTTGTGCTTGCCAGGCAGGCACTTGTGACACTGAGCTATATCCCCGGCCCAAGAAAACTTTTTAACTTGCCCACCACACCAACTTCTTCCAGACTGAACCGTGTCTCTAATGTGGGAGGCCCCCTGTCTCATCCTGCATGAACACAGTTGCTTAAAGTAGGGTGTGGGCAGCAGGTAGCTTTTTTTGCCTGGCAGAACCACTGCCCCCAGGCATGATACTGGCTCCTTCAGCCCAGTCTTGGTGCATGACTTTCCCCAAGGAATATTCATGCCCCACTCATGCAGCAAGGCTTACTTGCCACAAATCACACAGCCATCACCCAGGCCACTCTGCCAGGCTTCCCCATAGCAGTGCCTGGAGACATCTGCTGCCTCCACAGTGCTGCTTCCCACACCTAGCCTTTGGTCTGGAAACTCCAGAGGGGGCTGGGGCTTGACTTGTCTCAGGGAGTGTTGTCCCTGGGCCTTGGCTTAAGTCTACACTCTTGAGCACTCTTGAAACCCTCTGCCACCTCTAAGGATCTTGGGAGGTACTGTCTTCCCAGTGTGGAGCCTGCCCCTGCCTAGTAGTGTCCCAGCTCCCAACAGTCTGGAGAGGCTCTGGACAGTGACCTGGGACCAGGTAAGGAAAGTTTGTATGGCTCAATCAGTGTCTCTAACTGCATAAGCAATAAAGTCTTAATAAAGTGTTCTAGGGTATAGGTGCTTCCTAAAACTGGTAACTGTTGTCCTGTGTCCTTTGTTGTACATCTTTCTTAAAACTAATATTCCCCTGGTCTCCTGAGTATCTTAATTCTGTAACATTAGGAGGAAATACTTCCTTTTAGCTGTGGTCAGTGTCGTTATTTCTTTTGGAAACTCCGTGTATTTAAAACTATTCCTTGTCATAGAGCTTTTGAAATTTCCCTGAAGCACAGACTTGGGCCATGGAGAATAAAACCTTGAAAACAGCAGATACTGAGCCCAGCAGAACGAACTAGACTAAGAAAATTTAAGACTATGAATGTGGTTTTGATTCTCATTTCCTCCCTGATAATTCCTGTGGTAATCTGTCCTTTGAAATCATGACCGGAGGAATGCCAGGCTCTACTTCCATAGTAGAATACCTGGTGTGCTTGTCAAAGTAAGAGTTCATGGGCTGGGGATGTAGCTCAGCGGCACAGCACAGGCCTAGCAAGCACAAGTCCCAGCACACACACACACACACACACACACACAAACAGTTTTAGGGTAGGAATAGCTCCGTAGTAGAACAAATGCATAGCCTGCAAAGGCCCTGCCTAGTTCCATTCCCAGTGCCAAAAAAGTGCCAGGCCTGTGTCACACCTGTTGAAGGAGAATCTTAGGGAGTGATGTTTGAGGTTTTTTGTTTTTCTTAAGCTTGCTTTGTAATTCTGATGCAAAGGGAAGCTTATAAACGACTCTGTGATGCAGCCATAGCCAACCTGATTAGACAGGGTCTCGCTATGCAGTTCAGGCTGGCCTTGAGCTCACTTTGTAGCCCAGGCTCTGCTGGAACTTGCAACGATCCTCCTGCCTCAGCCTCCCAAGTGCTAGGATTACGGGCATGTGCTACCACACCCGGCTTAGCCAACCTGAATTTAAAATTCTAACTTAGTTGATCATCCTTGGGTTTAACCTCTTCTGGCTTCCATTGCCTTATCTCTGAAGTGAAGATCAAATAGTACCTAAGTATGTTGACTGTACTTTTGACAAAATACCTGAAAAGGCAAAGTGAAATAGTACAAGTCTCACTGAGCAGGAACCAGCACAGTGAGATGTGGTTAGTAATGGAATTGACTACCTGTGATGAGGTTCTACTTCATTGTCATGTCCCACCCTCCTCTCCCTTCTAGGACTCCCAAGAATGAAGAGGAAGGAAACTGTCCTTGAAGGGTTACTGATCACCAGGCTTCTCTCCAGGGCAGGGATCCAGTGTGACTGTCCCAAGCTTGCTTGCACACTGCTGAAGTTGAAGCTGCTGGTTCTGGGCTTGAAGCTCCTGGGTCTGTGAGGCCAGATGAATGGTGTCTTGCAGGACATCAGCCAGCAGGCTACGAAGATGGTGCTCTGTGGTTGTGGCCTTCTTCTCCCACAGCCCCTGCCAGGCTCGAAATACCTGTGCCCAGATACACAGATGCCTGTCAGCCAACCAACCTTGGCACCAGCTCAGGGCCTACCTTCTGTCCCCACTGACCTGCAGCATGTGGCATGTCTGAGCACGGGTGGCCTGTACATGCAGGTCATAGAGGGCTGCCAGGTCCTGCTCTGCCGTGTCCCGCTCTGCCCGGAGGGCTTCCACCTGGAGCCTCAGCACTGTCTGCTCCCAGAGCCGTTTCTGTCTCTCTCCACAGAACTTCAGAGATAATTCATGCCCGTTAAGTGCCAGCTGTACGCCACACTTTTTGCTAAACCCTTTATGTGTATTATTTTATTCAGTAACAACCTTATGGGGTAGTTGCCATTTTACAGATTTGGAAACTGGATCAGGGAGGTGACCTAATTTGTCCAGATTCCCATGGCTAGTAAGGGACAGAGATGGCACATACCTTTCAGTAGTTCCCCAGCATCCTTAGGATGAAATCCAAACCCATAGATGTGGTACACTGTCTCTGCAGCGTTACCTCTCTCTACACACTTGCTAGGCTCTGGTCAGACAGGACAGCTTGTAGTTCCCAGAGCTTTTTTTGCCATTGCTTCCCTCTATACCTGTCCTCACAGTTTTATCCGGAGAACATCACCACTCCACCCCACCACCACATGTTTTGTTTCTTAATTTGATCAAACAAGTTACATTTACTGGGTGTCTCTGTGGTGAACACTGACTGTCCTTGTGGGGCTAAGTCTAATTTCTCTTGGCTGATTTCTGTTAGTCTTAGCCTAATGCCATCTCTGATCCACCCCAGTGGTGATGTATTGTTTCCACAGCCCCTAGCTCTCCTGCCACAGTATGCATCACTTAGAATGGCTCCTCTATCCCCTAGAAGGCTGTGAGGGCCGTGAGATGCTATGGGCCAGTCAGTTGGGATTGGTGATGGATCCTAGTCCCCTACTTACTCTTCTCACCTGCTTCTCAGCCACTTGGACTGTGTCCGGTTTGCCTGCAACCTCCTGTCCCAAACGTTTCCACTCCTCTTGGATCCAAATTTGGTGCTGCTCTTGTAGTCTTTGCCTCTGGGCCTGGGCCAGGAGGAACTGCAGGGCCACATCTGGAGCCCCGCAGGCCTAGAGAGTGTCAGTCTAGGTTCAGCCAAGGTCATGTGTACATAGCTTTGGAACACAGGGCCCAACATTCCCAGGGATGCTACAAGAACTACATCTAGGACCTTACTGGCCTTGAAGAGCCTGTAGCCTGGGCACAGACTAGGGATGCCACGTGAGGAGAGAGAAGCCCCTGGCTCTCCCCATACTACAGGGATTCTGTAACCCTAACCCAACCCAGAAAGAAAACAGACTTTCCCAGAGCTTCTTTCCTAGGGATCCAGTAGCCCTTCAAGTCCTTTATTGCTGGAAGCTCCATGTTCCTCCGTAATGCCAGGGCAGAGAAAGCAGAGAGCAGGTTAGCTGGTCTCTGCAACTCCTCACTCCCCTCAACAGTTTCCAGTCATTCCTGGGGTGTGTGAGGTATTACCTGTTCCTCAGAGTTCCTGAGAGAATGCTTTTGGTGGAGTGCAGGCCCTAGAGATGTTCTTCTTCCTGCCACTACAGGAAAACAGTCACACCAAGGTGAAGGGGACCCCTAGCTAGCCTCCAAGTCCCAGCTCCACCTTGGCGTTCCCCCTTCAGACCTAGGCTGTAGCTTGCTGCTGAGTCTATCACCTGCTGACACTATATTAGGGGTGACAGTTCCACACCCTTCCTCCCAGAACACTCTAGGTTAAACTCAGAGATTTGGAATGGGACCAGCTGCCAAGCCCATTCTTAGGTGTATAAACTCAGGCAGTTAACTAGCCTTTAAGTCTCCAAGTCCTTTATAAAACAGATTATAAAAGTTGTGGAGAGGGGGCTGGGGAT